AAAAAAAAAAAAAAAAAAAAAAAAAAAAAAAAAAAAAAAAAAGAGTGAAAAGAAACAAATCCAGAGAAAGGTAATGTCTACTATTTAAATAATATTTATATTTCAAAAAAATTTACTTGAAAGCAAAGAAATAAAAGACCATAAATGATTTTAGGAAATGGTGTTCTTTCTAGAGTATGGGAATCTCACTTTTGATGAATTGTAGAGAAAATATGCTTTGGGGGAGGATATTCTAGAAGTAGGTTACCTTGGATCTAAACAACATAAGAACAAAACTTGGGACAAGTATGTAAGAATTAAGGTTTGTGCTAACTTGGAGGGGAAAATTCTTGAATGATGTGTCAGAAGTTATCGAGGAAGTATAAGATACTTCTTGTATGACACACAGGGGTCCAAGGGCAGTATTAGCCATGCCTATCTCAACAGTTTGTTAGCTTCCATAAAGGGCATAGTTTGGGTGGAGTCTGAGATTCAGTTGTCAAAATTGAGTCCAAGATTCTTCAAGTAATTTAAGAGAGGCTGAAACCCAAAATCATGAGTAAATATTGAATTTGGAACTATATATGGAAACACAGGAATAGAAAAGTATTAACAGCCAATCTTTTGCAATAGTTATGCTAAGCAGCATCAAAAAGAGTGAAAAAAGGTCAATATATAGAAATGTGACAACATGACATCTATCAAATTCCATCTAAAAATGAATTGCCATAATGTGACTAATTTTTATGAAAAAATTCACATCCAAAATATAAGAAACAAAAGGAGATGAAGATGCCATTGGCCTTTCCAGATAAACCTCACGCTGAACATCTGACATTATAACACTAGCCAGTATGAGGAACCCAAATCTTAACCACTGTTAAATATAAATATTCCCAGGGAAGTTTCTGGTCCACACAGTAATACATATTAGTTTTCACTTCTTAACTCATACAGTTCCCTAATTTTCCTTTATGATAATAATAAACTAACTGAAGGCAGGAATCCTGTCATCTTCAATTTAAAAATATCTGTTAGCAAACTTACTAGATGTTTTCCTACCCCCAAAATACATGCTATTCACATAAAGTGAGTACTAAATGCATTGTATTGAGTGAATTGATGAAGTGTTCATTGTTGTACAGAGCCGTGCTTGTGACTCCTGCGTGNTCCAGATAAACCTCACGCTGAACATCTGACATTATAACACTAGCCAGTATGAGGAACCCAAATCTTAACCACTGTTAAATATAAATATTCCCAGGGAAGTTTCTGGTCCACACAGTAATACATATTAGTTTTCACTTCTTAACTCATACAGTTCCCTAATTTTCCTTTATGATAATAATAAACTAACTGAAGGCAGGAATCCTGTCATCTTCAATTTAAAAATATCTGTTAGCAAACTTACTAGATGTTTTCCTACCCCCAAAATACATGCTATTCACATAAAGTGAGTACTAAATGCATTGTATTGAGTGAATTGATGAAGTGTTCATTGTTGTACAGAGCCGTGCTTGTGACTCCTGCGTGTCTCTAAAATACTTAATACTAAGTCTTGAATAGGTTTAAAAATTCTTCATGATTGCACCGTTAGTCACAACCCAAATCCTATTATCAAGTCCACCTTTTTAAGGCCATCAGCCAAAACACCCTTGTATTATTACTAGACTAAAAGGGACCCCAATTTTGAAAAGAGGTATTTACATAATACAGTTATTGCACCACATGGTTCTGGTGAAAGAAATCAAATCATGACCTTTCTCATCAGCAGGATCAAGTCCACACTGTTTTTACAACTGAATGATATTTGCTCATAAAGCCAAAATGTGTGTGGGCTGTCAGAAAGGAAGGTGAAAGTAAAGCCCTCTCTTTCTTTGCCTTTTCTCTCTATCTCTCCTTCTCTCTTCTCTTTCTTTTCTCTCCTTTCTTTTTCTCTCTCTTTCCTCTCCAATTTATGAACAAGATAATTTGTCATGCAATTAGCCTCACAATGTGTCTAAATTATTTAGAGATTACTTAATGAGTAAATTATACAATTTAATTTATTTAAAATTATTTATTCTCTGCAAAATCAAGCATATCATTCAGTTTACATAGAAATACAATTTTCAACCAGATCTTCATAAAACTGCACTGGTGAAATAAATGTTCATAATTAATGACCAATTATGTACTATTTAATCATGCCAGTAGCAGAATTGATTACCATTAAAAATTGGTAAAGTAACATATCTTAAATGTGCAAATACCATCTTAAGTACTCTATTGTGTTACCATTGATAATAAATGGCCACTAA